GGTGAAATGCACTCGGCGCCACTTCAGTTTTCTCTACCACAGAAGATCGATTAAGAAATTCCAGGTTACAGCAAAGGAAGCCTTCCCCCCCCTCCCTTAGTGACCGCACATGGACAAAGAGCAGATGACTAATTTTACCTTTAACATCAGAACTCAGACCTACACCTCTGAACACCTCAACACTGACAGCAGCTGCAAACCCCCTCTGCTGAACGCAGCATCATTTCCAATGCCTTACCTTGTACTACAACTGGTAAAAGTGTGACAAGAAAAAAGATGGCCTTTATAGAGGTAACAAAAAATAGGTATGTGTATTTAATGCAAAGCCCTTATATAATCTTTCCTAAACAGCAAGGATCGCAGCAATGAACAAATCTGGCAGTTACTAAGAACAGAAAGAAAATTAAAATAAATACCTCTGGTCCTAAGTGACATATATACACTCAACTGTGCGAATATACCAGCTGACTGTTCGCAGATACAATTCTGCTTTTGAATACAAAAGCCAACAGTACCCCTTTCTTAGGGAAGTCTGAGGATAGGATCTTTCAATGCAAGATGTAAAATGGCAACACTGGATCTCCTGTTCAACTAGAGGGGAACTACCGATTTGATTTTTGTATCAAAGTGCAGCCTTGAGCACTCATACACACCCACTGAAACTAAATGTAAAGTATAATTGCTCTGTAAATGCAGATTTGTGCTTTACTAGACACCAAGTTGTAAGCCTTTCTAGAAATACAACTGTACGAATCCCAGAATCAATTGGGTTGGAAGGGACCTTAAAGACAAGCTCGTTCCACCCCCCTAGGGACACCTCCCACCAGCCCAGGTTGCCCAAGGCCACCTCCAGCCTGGCCTTGAACACCTCCAGGGATGGGGTCTCAACAACTTCTCTGGACAACCTATTCCAGTGCCTCACCACCTTTAAAGGGAAAAATTTCTTCCTAATGTTTAATCTAAACCTGCCCTCTTCCAGTTTAAAGCCATTCCCTCTTGTCCTATCACTACACGCCCTTGTAAAAAGTCCCTCCTCAGCTCTCCTGGAGCCCCTTTAGGCACTGGAAGGCCGCAATAAGGTCTCCCCGGAGCCTTCTCTTCTCCAGGATGAAGAGCCCCAGCTCTCTCAGCCTCTCCTCACAGCAGAGGGGCTCCAGTCCTCTGATCAACTTCGTGGCCCTCCTCTGGACCAAGTCAATTACATCTATACCAAAACACATACATTTTGACCTTTCATTTAACAAAAATAATTGTCAACATGGTAAATACCATGCATTAAAAGCACTGCCTGGCTGTTCACTCACAGCAAGTGAACTTCTTTCACTGTATCTGGAAACAATCAGAAAGGTATCTTTCAAACTGATATGCTATGGAAGTGTTACATATGCACTGTAATTAACATACCATTTCACCAGCTGAGTAGAGCCAGGACAGTTCTTGTCTTCCCTCAGAATTTTGACACAGACATCTCAAAAAAAATATATATATACACATGAATATTTACTTAGTACAAAATGCAACTACATTGTCAAGGAAGCGAAGTTCATTCCCTGAAAGCATATATGAAAAGCAGACTAGAATTAACATTACTGACAGGCACAGGCAGTTTTAATTGCAGAATTAGTATCACCACTATCTAACAAAATTCAGCTATGACTGCATTAGTGAAATTTTCATTACAGTCATTGCAACTGGCTACTACCTTTAATTAAGGAGACCAAGTGGCTTTCAAGCTCATTAACTTTGGAACAACTCTATGACAATAGATTTTGCAAAGAATCATGAAACCAGACTGTTACCATCCATGTATCTTGTTCCGTAGGCACTTTCAGGAAAGATTCCTCTCAAATATGTAATGCAGGACACTGCTACTGCCAGGAGCCTCTTCACTAGCATCAGGGATTGCTGTTCAGTAGATATTTTGTTAGGAAATACAACTGCACTCTGCAAGTCAGAGAAAGAAAAGAATTGATCTCTGTCCACAAGAACAAACCTGTACAGTCTACAATCTGGTCCAATACCTGTGTAATGTTTTAATTTAATTGAGAAGTATGACTTTCACCATTTATAAAGTTAAGCATACTCCTAACACTTGGTGTTGCTATGTCTTTAAGACATAGCTAATTTCTATCAACTGCACGAACACAAAGTTCAGACTCAAACTATTTTGCTATTAAACATCTTTATTCATCGTTAAAACATTGAATTAGCTTGTAATTCTCAAGGGAAGAAATATTACAGAGCACCTGGGTGCACTATTTCAGCTAAAATTCACTAATCTTTCCAATTCAAATAATACACTGTGCTGAAACACGCAAGAAAATCATACCACACAATTCCTTTGCTTCTGAGCAGTTGCCATTTTGCAGATCCTCTTCTGGCTGTTAATAAAACATCTGCATGAACGATGTACGACCACACTCACAAGCGCACGCAAGCCCAGACCGCAGCTACTCAGCTTTAACTAGGCAGTACCTGAACCCACCAACGCTGCCTGCACGATTCATCTCTATCAGTTCAAACCAACCCCGCAATTTTAAGCAAACGTGGCAGGACAGGCCATCTAATAATCACCAGTACTAGATTCTTGATTTTCACACCAGTAGAGACATCTCCCAAGGTTGCAGTATGCGGTGATTAGAATAGCACGTGCCTGTTTACATAAAACACGAGTCTTTCAACGCAATGCTCCAAGGTGCCAACTAGTACCCAGGCTGGCAGATTTTTAAAGAATCCTGAGGCCCTCCGCATTTAAGTGACCTCCAGCCAAAGCTGAATCATCACCTTTGGAAAACACCTCCAGGCTTGGCCTGTTTTCCTCTGTAATTTAAGTAGTGGAGAAAGCAACCCCTCCCCAGCTACTCTGTTGAGCCGTGTTTTCACTAAACCTTTGACTCTCGGCACCGTGAGCCTGACTCCCCAAGACAAGCCTTCATCACCATCTGTAAAAGTGAAATGCACTGACAAACACCAATAACACCTTTTCTAAGTAGGGCCTCGGCCCTGGACCATACAGTGAACCAAAATCCCCTCAGCTGAGCCTCCCCAACCCCGCCTCATCTCAGTACATGGCGGAGCTCAGCTCCTCTGTGAGAAAAGCCCCTTCTCAGCACTGCCACCCCTAGAAGCGACAACCTGCCTCCTCAAGCTATAAAGGCCACCCACAAAGGAAGCCAAGAAGGCAAGAACAGCCCAAGCTGAGGATGGACGGACCGCACACAGCCCTCAGGCCCGGGGACGGCGAGCCCACACGGGCCGCCCCCCCCCCCTTCCCCGCGGGCACGGCCGCGCACTGCCGCGGGCCGCCCGCACCCTCCCCTTTTATAGCGCAGGGGGCCGTGTGCAAACGGAGGGGCGGGGCTTCCGCTCCCGGCAGGCCGGG